GGCCATAGTTACCTGCACGAGTGGGGTAGGGCCTGCGTCAGGGACCGTGGGCGGGGACTGCAGTGGGACGAGGGTGGGTCCCAGGAGGCAGATGGAATGGGGCGCAGGAGAGGGCGTAGGGGTTTGGGCAGGCGACCAGGAGGCCACGGCCCCGCTTGTCTGTCTTTCCTGCGGCTTCTGTGTCCCCCCAAGCCACCACCTCCCTGTCTCATCTGTCTCTTTCCCTCGGCTCCCTGTCCCCGCCCCCTGGGCCCTCTCTGGGTCTCTGTCTGTCTGTCTGTCTGTCTGACAGCCTCTCCTCCTTCACTGCAGCTGCCCAGGGACCCCTGTGCCTCACGGTCCATCCCTAGCCTCCCGGCTCTGCAAATGGAATTCTGGGCCTGTCAGGGGCCTGTCAGGAGATGGTTGGGACCGAGGGGTGCTGGGGAGCGCCCCCATCGGCCCCCCGACCCCGTCACCATGCCCAAGGCACCCCGCGGACCTGGCAGGTTGGAGTCCCCGGTGCTGAGGAAGCCCAGGGGCCCCACGCGGTAGTTGAAGGTGACCACGATGACGTTGCCCTGGGTGGCGATCTCCTCGCCGTCGAACAGGTAGTTGTTGAAGATGTTGGCCCCTTGGCCGGACCCCATGAGGAAGGCGCCCCCGTAGATCCAGACCATGACGGGCAGGTCCCGAGACACTGGGGCAGGAAAGAGGGCCTGGTGACCCCAGTTGCCCCTGGGCACTCTCCCCTCCGGGGGCCCCTCTCAGGGAAGGTTGGCTCCAGAGCCCCCAGACACAACCGAGGGGCAGGGCTGGGGGCCTCTGGCTGCCTGGGCGCTCTCCGTGGGGCTGGGGGAGCTGGAGAGCACGGGGCAGGGGTGGGCACACCTTCCTTCTTGCCCTGGGGGACCCAGATGTTGAGGTAGAGGCAGTCCTCAGAGCCCTGGGTGTTGTCCTGGATGAGGGCGGCTTGGAGGCATTGCATCTTGTAGTCCTTGGCCTTCAGGGTGCCTGCGGGCAGCCAGAGGGACTGGCATGAGGATGGTGGCCCACCCACGCCCTCCCATGAGGCCGGGCCTGCCCAGCGTGCACCCACTCGCACCTCGCCAGCCGGGGTGCCGCTGGGGGTTCTCCAGGGGCTTGGGGGCGGCAGCGAAAGGGATGCCCTTGAAGATGTCTACAGAGCTGCCCAGGAGGCCGAGCTTCTTGTTGACGCCCTCCACGAAGCCTCCTTCCGTGTACACGGCGCCCAGCTGGGGGGAGAGGCATTTCACACAACAATGAGTACTTGTTAGTGTGCGCGTACCCTGCGTGCCATGTGGGGCACACCTAGACCCGAAACCGTGCTGTTGGTGAAACCCAGTTTAGCTGGGCGTCCTGCACTTGGTCTGCGCCCCAGTCACCGTACGAATGGGGACGGACCTGGGACGAGCCCCCTGGGAGAGCTGTGGGCTCTGTGTCCGGGGGCAGGGGGGCCTCTTTCTGCCAGGGACCCATCTGTCTGCCTTCCCTCCTCTCTGCCGTCCCCAGTGCCCAGGTCTGTGCCGCGGAGGACCGGGGCCCTGCCTCCTCTGCCGGGCTGTCGCTTACCTTTGCTGAGCTCACTGCCGCCAGGCAGCAGGTGAAGCCCAAGACCAGCAGCTGCAGGTACCCCATGGTGTGCGCCTGCCTCAGGGTGGCCCTGCCTCCAGCCCACGGGTATTTATGGGGCTGGAGCCAGCCAGGAGCCTGCGTCGGCAGCTGCCCCTGGAGGGTCCTTCCCCCTCCTCCGTCTGCCCCTTCGTCCAGGCTGGCCACACGCCAGGTGGTGCGCCCGGGGCCAGGAGACAGCTGCCGTTTTCAGACTGGACCAAGGTCACACCGGTGCCTGTGCATACACAGTCACACACGTGTGCATGTGCAAGGGAGGATGTTACCGGGTTCCTGGGGCCCACAGCGCACCCGGGCAGTGGCTGGGAACCGAGGCAGGTGGCTGCAGGGGGGTTGGGGCGGGGCCTGGCTGGGTGCACAACGGCTGTGTTTTGGTTCATCCACAAGGGCTCAGGGCCGTCCTCAGAGAAGGGGGCATGCTTTGTCTCCACATCCTGCTTGGCCCCCCGCCCCCAAACCCCCGAGCTCAGCCAAGGATGTTTATAGGGGACTGGGCATGTGACTTCCGGCACAGAGGTGGCTGTGTGCTACTGGGCAGCTGTGGCGGCTACCGTCCTCCAGTATCCATCTCGGCTGCTGATGTTCGTTGAAACATGCTAAAAACATACACAGAGACAACCAGGTCCCGTGGGGGAACAGGAACAGAAGGGCCAGGCCTCGCGTGGGGAGCGCCACTTGGCCACCCTCTCTCCTGGAGGTCGCCATGGCCACCCCCTCTAGTGGGGAGCGCCCTGTGTCCATACCCAAGCAGATTTTTATTGAGAAAACAGACTTAGTTTGTGGATTCACAGTCTGGCAGAAAAGATCGAAAGAAGCATGTGACTTACAAAGGTGCAGACAGAACCCCCACTGTGGTTCTGGGCAGAGCCTGGGGTTTTATCTAACAGGGCTCAAAGGGCAGTTTTGGTTTCCTGTCTGTGCCTTTAAATTCCAAGATAATAACATCCTCCAGCAAACAGATCTCACAGGATCTTGCATATTCTATGTCCCAGGCCTGATTACCCTAGGGTCCGCTGTTTCTGGTTGGGCTGTTTCGCCCCTGCAGGCCTGAGAAGACAGAGGCACCCAGGAGACTTGGATTTCTCACATCTAAGAACAAGGACTCAGGCTTTGACAAAGCCAAGGTGGCAGGGGTTGATGTCCATCACTCCCTTCATTTCCACAGCCCCGTGAGTTTCTTCCTTAGGGCACTCCCACGTGATCGCGTCTGTCCTGAGTTCATTCTCTCTCTTAGAGAATTGTTAGCCGTCATTGACTGCCCATCATGCCAAGGAAATAATTTTGTCTCCTTCAGTGGCTCCTGGTCCGGAGGTCTTTCACTCAGCCTATGTCATGGGGAGTTACAGCTTCCTGAGACCAGGCAGAGCGACCTGCAACAGGCAGCCCATGTCCCTGGGCCTGGTTTCCAGGGCCCCCTGGGGTGCGGTCTGGGTCTGAGCTGGGTGTGGGGACCCTGCCCTCAGGGTGTGGGGCAGACCTCACATTCAGAGGGCGGGACAAGGGGCTCGGGGGTCACAGGCATGGAGGAGAGGGGGCCACAGCCCAGCCTGGTGGGCTTCCCGGGGAGAAAGGAAGGGCTTGGGGCATAGCAGATGAGCTGGGGGTGGGGGTGGGGAGAGAGACAGAGGGACAGAGACAGATGAGAGACAAAGAGGAGCCAGAGAGATGGGAAAACCTGAGCACAGAGTGTGAACCACCAGCGAGAGAGAGAGAGAGCCCACAGCTGAGCCTCAGGGCGTGCATCTGACTTCGGTAACCAAAGGAGGTCGTTAAGGAGTGACCCCAGCCACGGACAAAGCCCAAGGCTCTCGCCTTGGAGGGGTTTGGCCTCAGAGCCATCCCCAGCGAGGGGGTGCATCCAGGAGCCGGGGACAGCCTCTCAGTCTGGGTCCAGATGGCCTCCTCGCTGCCTGGGAGCCCTTAACGCTACAGGCGCACCTAGGCCATGCGTGTGGCTGTCCCCAACACCCACAGTGGTCTACACAAGTCGGGCCCGTCTGCCCACCCGACCCAGCGCCACTGGAAGCAGGAACCAGGCGGACAGGGGTGAGGCCAGGGCTGCAGAGGGTGCAAGGGGTGTGGCCGTGAACCAGGAAGTGCCTGTGCTAATGCGCTTTTTTCCTGGCCAATGGGATCCCGAGAACCCGTTCTAAGTGATTCTGAGTGCGGGGGACGGGCCCCGCGTGCTCGGGGACGGTCAGTGCCATGTTCTTTGCGGGAGGAAAGGAGGGGGCAGATCCCCGTGTTTTGATGATTCGAGGTGCTCACTTATTTAACACTAAGGAGCCCGCAGGGTCCCGCACAGAACAGGTAACAACAAACATGCGGTGAGCACTCCCAGAAACTTCCAGAAGAGACTAGCATCGTCCAGCCCGCAGCTTCTGAGACGAAATACCGGGGCAAAAAGCAGCCTTAAAAGCCGGCTCCACAAATACTGGCAGACAGGTCACCTCACCTGGCGTGTGCACGTGTAGGCGTGTCTGTGTTACATGCACGTGATGCTTTTCCACTTCCAATACTGCCCCCAAGTTCATCTATAAACCCCCTTGAGGACCTGCATTCCAGCTGGCTCGGGAGAAAGGAGCACTCACGTGAACTGAGGGTTCCTCAAGCTCCTGAAGGGCAGAAACTAAACCGAATGTCTTTCAAGGTCACATGGTGATTTCACAGAAACCTCTGTCTTCTGGGTTATCGACAGGTAACGTGGGGACATGTTTGTATCTTACTTGTGTTTACTAGTCCATGAGGCTGACAGTGAAGAGGAAAACCATGGGACGTGATGGGACTTTTGAACCACGTGGCCCACGGACCTGCTAGCAAGTTCAAGGACAGGCTCACGGTGCCTCTGGAACTGGATGCAGGTGTGTGTTGTGGGTTTGCACGTTTTTCTGTGGGGAGACTCCATGGCTATCATGGGATGCTTGGAGGGTGTAGGGGTTCCCCAGACGTCTGAGAGAGAATCTGGGTGATTGGGCCAGAAGTATGAAGTTCTGGACGGACACGATGGACAAAGTAGAGCCCTCGCCGTGTTGATTTAATGGTGCACAGAACTGAGGCAAATACTTAAAAAAACCTTCCCCAGCTTGGAGCGCATCCCGTGCGGGCAAACACACCTGTTCCCATCCCACGAGGCAGACACTGCGGTCAGAGGGACGCAGGCCCCGCCCACGCCGCCAGGAGACAGGGGTGCGGCCAAGACCCGTCGTAGCTGCGGGGCGGGCGGCGAAGGTAGGCGTGCCGTCGTGAGTGCACAGCACACGGTTTCCTCTCGCGTCACTGTTTAATTACCGTATCGTTTTTCCACGTGAACTGCAAACCTATTTTTGCCCCACTCTGTCCAAGTAAGATCTGAGAAGTAAAACCCTATCATTTTATCTTTTAATTGGAAACTATCTGTACAAACACATATTTTACTATGTTTGTTGTAAAAAAAAAAAAAAGGCCCATTTCCTGGCTCTGTGATTTCAAAAGCACTGAAGTAAAAGGAAAACCCAGGAGCAGCAGGCCCCCCTGGGGCCCAGCTGGGGTCTCTGCACACCACCTCCATGCCGACGAAGGGGCCGGGCACCCCAGGCCATCGGCAGGCGGGGGACAAGAAGGCGCAGAGAACCAGAGGGTGTGTCAAAGGTCACAGGAGGCAACCTGGGGCCCCCCCGCCGGCCAGAGATGAGACGGGCTGGGCATCAAAAAGTGTGACCACGATCGTTCGAAACAAACTTAAGAGTTCATTACAAAAGTTAAAAAAAACAAAGAAGCCTCCCCCAACATCCGCCGCCACCAGTGGCCCTCGGCGGGTCGCCAAGTCCTCCTTCCGAGAGGCGGCCGGGGGAGCAGGCGTTTTCCCCGCTCTGCCGGTCCCAGTGGCTTCGGGGAAGCCGGACACCTGCAGGTGCCGGGGGCTGAGTCCTCCCCAGAAGCCCAGCCAGTGGACGCAGGGGGACCAGCCACACGGGAAGTCGCTGCTTTGCAGCCCGGGGAAGAGGTGGTCCAGGCAGACATCAGGGCGGCTGACGGCCACACCCGCATCTGTGGGTCAAGGCCACGCCCCCACGTCCCTGGGAAGGGGCCTTGAACCTGAAGGGCAGCCAGAGCGTCGGGTGCGGTGGGGTAGGTCCTGGCACGCTAGGTTCCTCCTGTGGGGCTGGGTCTCTCCTTAAGAGAGCTCTAGGAAGACAGGAATGGGAACCCCAACTCTGAGGACAGAGGGGACAAGTCTGATAAAACAGCGATGCCAGGGCCTCGCACTGGGAAGTCCCACGACACTCAGGATTTCTGCGGCCATTCGGCGTTCTCCACAACAACAAGCTTTTTACAAAACGGGGGTGTAAGTACAACTCCCAGGTTTCTGACTCGGTGATTCCTCCATCACCACATACTGTGCACAAGGTGGCAGAGGGGGTGCAGGGCGGCCCCGGCCCTGGGCCGCCCTCCTCAGGCTTGCACAGGGGCCCCGGCGGCTCCTGGGAGGTGGGGACGAGAACCCACATCTTCTCCCTCTGAGGTTCGGGGCACAGCTTAGAAGTGGGGAGCCCCCACAGAGATGCACAGTGAAGAGGAAGGCCTTGGACAGAAGCGCTGGGCCTGGGGCCGCCAGCCTTTCGGAAAGGCTGCTGGCTGGCCTCTCCGCAAGGCCGGTGCCCAGCGCTGCGGGCCCCGGGCTCCTGCTCTCCCCTGGGAGGGCTCCCAGGGCCCCTCACTGTGGCAGCGGCACTCGGGCAGCCGTGGGAGGACACGGGCTGCAGTGCCGGGAGCCTCTGAGAACACTGGAGCGGTAAGGGAGGGACACGAGGCCGTGGGGCCCCTGGGGACGGGGCTGGGGCCACTGGGCCTGTTCCCGACGGTCCCAGCACTGTCCCGGGGGGTCCCTGGGCCTGTGATGGGAGGGCGGATGGCACCCAGCAGCGGGAGCCCAAGCCCCCGGCAGGTGCTCCAACACCCAGTCTCCGGGGAGATGTCTTCAATGAGGGCAGTCCCAGGGGCCCAGTCGTTGCCGAGCCCCTCAAGAGGGTGGACCCAGACCCAAGGAGGCCTCCCGCCACCTGCGGCCAGGGGCCAGGCTCCCCTGCTGTCTCCAGACCCAGGCCAAGCCCGACCCCCACCCCCAGCACATCCCCACCTCCAGCCCTTGTGGGTCTCAGCCAACCGGACCTGGGCTGGCTCACGGACAGGGGGCCGGGCACAGCCTTTGGGAATGTCCCCAGCAGCCAGGGCAGGGGGCAGCCCCGAGCAGCAGGTCACAGGCAGGACCAGGGCCGGCTGCAGCCAGTACTGGGGTCCCAGCTCTCCTCAGAGGGGGCTCATGGGCCGTCCCAGCGACCGTGGGCCTGAGGGGGGGCCCACGGCCACGTCACACATAGTCCAGCATCTCCGTCTCCATCTCATTCTCGCTCCCGTCCGACGGCTTGAAGTCCTCCTCTTCCTCCTCCTCGTCCTCCTCGTCCTCGTCCTCCTCCTCCTCCCCGGACTCGCCCGTCGCCGGCTCTTTCCCCCCGGCACCGTCCGCCTTGGCTGGGCTGGAGAAGAGAGCTGGGGCGGGGGCCAGGCCCTGAGTCCCAGCACAGGCCCTCGGGGGCGGCCGTTGGGGACGGGGCTGGGAACCTGGGGCCCAGGCGCTTCGGGGACCGCGGGGGCAAAGAGCTTCGCAAACCACGTCCCCTGGGCCGCCTCAGGCGGCTTCCTGGGCCCACTGACTCCCCGGGAGCGCCCACGACGTTCTGTGGGTGGGACAAGGGTGCACGGCCTCGTGCGATGGCCGAGGGGCCGAGTCCCAAATGAGACTGGCTGCCCCTGCTCTCGCCAGCACCACGGGGCCCCTGGGAGGAGCCCCCCAGAGAGGCCCTCTTGCCTCCCCACCCGCACCTCCGCCTCACAGACCCCTAGCCCAGCAACTGCTCCCACTCCTTCCCTCCCCCACCCCCCACCCCCGGGCAGGCTGTGCCGGCAACAGGACCCAGCTCCCTTCTGCCCACAGCACTGGCCCCTGCTCCCACAGGGAGGGCAGGCGGCCGCACCCACGTGCGGCCGGGAGAGGCAGAAAGGAGCCCGGGTAGGAAGGGGCAGCCCTGGGTGGCAGCCGGCAGCCTGGGGGTGCGGGCCCGGGGCTGAGTCCTGGCTCACACGGCCTCCCGTCTACGGGCGCCAGGGACCAGAGGAGCCACCACGGCGCGATCCTCGAGGTCAGGCCCACTGGGGGCCTGGCTCCGCCCCCACCCGCGTGCCACTCACCGGGCCTCTGGGCACGGATGGTCTGCCGGATGAGCAGGGACATGGCGTTGCGCAGGTCGTCGCTGGTCTTGGGGAGGCACCACCCGTCCCGCTCCGTGCAGGTCTCCTCGGCCCCGTCGTTGCGGTGGATGATTTTCTGCAGCCTGGGGACCGGGCACCACGTTCCAGGGGCTCCCTGGCGGCGGGCCAGGGAGCGGCGGGGCGGAGGGGCCGTGCTTACCCGACCAGCACTGAGCGGCACCGGAGGGACGGGTGCGGCACTGGAGAACACCCCGCACACCACCCACAGAGCAGGGGGCACCCCCCCCCACTTTCCTGGTGAGTCCCCGCTTTCACCAGGCTCCGAGCTGTGTTTGCACCTCCCTAGGCACGGCCAGGTTAAAGGTTTCTGGGGCTCCGGTCGGTGCCAAAGGGCGGGACAACTATGTCGTGCCCCCCCACATGGGCAGTGCAGGAGAGGCAACGACTCCGCAGCAGACAGCTCTGTGCCGGGGACCCCACTGCCGCTGCTCCGAGGGGCAGCCCACGGTGCACCGCGGAAGCCGCTCCCGAGGGCCGCGTGAGCCCAGGCAGAGAGGACCCTCCCCGGGCAGCCCCAAAGGCCCAGGCCGGGGAGCCTGCAGGCTGGGAGGGCAGCTAGAGGACCAGAGGCCTGGCAGGGAGCTCGGGGGCCCGTGGCAGCCCGCCAGCCAACCCCCCCCACCCCGGGTACGCACTCGCCCACGTCCAGGTCGCACAGCTGGTAGAACATCTGTCGGTAGGGCGGCAGGGCGTTCTCCCGGAAGATGTAGACCGAGTCCTGGGGAGGGGGGGGCCCGGGGCGCGTCAGGGGGAGCTCTCCCCTGGGGGCCGGCGGTGTCGGGGAGTCCCGGCCTGGGGGCCACGGGGCCTCTCCGCCCTCCACCCCGCTCTCCGCCGGAGGGCAGCTGCGCTCGCGGGCTCCGGGGCCCCCACCTTGAGCTTGTACTTGTTGGAGTTCGACTTCCGCAAGCCGGCCGTCCCCGCCGGGCCCAGGCCCTGCTTCAGGTCCTGCATGGTGGCGACCTGACTGGCTGCCGGCGGCAACAACGGTGCTTTGGAATACAGAGGGGGCTCCCCTGCCCCCCCCCAGCCCGTTCGCCGCATCCCTCCCGGGGAGCACAGCTGGCGGGGCCCTGGCTGTCCCCCTGGGGAAGCTCCTTCCCCCCACCCCCAGAAGCCAGACGCCGTCACCCTCAGGGTCGGCGTGGTGGGGGCCGACTGGCCAAGTCGCGGAGCGGGCCCAGGCACTCACGCGTCTTCTTGACGGTGATCGGAAGGCTGTAGTTGTAGGTGCTGCGCTTGGCTTTCACGGGCATGTCGTTGTGGGCGTAGCCTGCAGACGGGGGTGGGGGGTGTCAGGCGCAGTGGTGCCGAGGCCCTCTGGCCCACGGCGCTGGACTCCTGCGACAGGCACAGCAGGACTCGCTGGGGACAGCTCCTAGGACAGGGCCCGGGGCAGCCGGTGCCGCCGCGTTCCAGCGCCCGCCTCGCAGGGCCACGTGCTGGCGCTCTGCGGGCAGGGGCTCGCTGCGGGCCGGGGGACTGACACGTGCCCGATGCAGGGCCAGTGGCACAGCAGCCACAAAGACGGGGTCACCGAGTGGACGAGGGACTGGGGCTCCGAAACAGGCGGGTCAGCCGTGGAGCCGGGACTCGGCGCGGGTCCTCCTGTCCACCTCACCTCGGCCCTCACCGCGGGGAAGGGCCCTCACCCTCTCTGCGTGGACGCGAGCTCACGGCCAAGGCAAGTCCCAGGACAGGAGGACAGACGGAGAAGGACAAGTGTTGGTGACTCTTACCGTGTTTCACTCCACAGCGGATCCGGAAATCAAGGACCTGGTAGATCTTGGCCTCCGGGTGTTTCCGCGGGTCGTACCCAAACCGAATCCACAGGCTTCTCCAGGGGCCCGTGATCTGGAGACAGGACAGGCGGGCGGGGCTGTGGGCGCGGCCCGAGCGGGGGACCCGGCTGTGGAGCCCCACCCCAGCTCTCCACGGGGCTGCCCCTCGGGCAGGTCGCTCGGTCACCTGTGGGAGGGAGGCGACAGGAGCCCCCCCGCCAGTTTCCGTGCGGACTGGAGGGCGCGGGGGTCCCGGAGCCCGAGCCTCTGCCGGGCACTCGGCGAGCGCCTGGCGAGGGTCGCCGCTGTCCCCAGCGGCCCTCTGAGGCCCCCGCGCCTCCAAAGCCCATGCCGACGGCAGACGGCGACTCTCTGGGGACCCCCCCACTGGTGCCCCCCCCCGTCATCGCCGCCTCGGCCACGTCCCGTGCTGGCCTCTGCCACGCTCTGCGTGGCCACCCTGGCAGGCAGGATCCCTTCCCCCCGGCTCCCGCGGGAGCCTCAGTGACGACACCCCTGGACCCAGGGCACGGCGGACCTCCTCAGGGAGCCCCACTCCCCACGGGAAGGAGGAGTCGGGGCCCACGCACCGTGGTTAGGGGTCTGCAGGCGGACAGGCCGGGGACGGGCCCCAGGCGGCTCTGCCGCTCGCTGACTGTGCAGCTGCGGCACATGGGTCGCCCCGGGGAGGGTAAAGGGCGGGAGGCACACACAGCACTCACCCAGCACCCGGCCCTCAGAGAGCTCTCGTACGAGGTCACTGAGAGACGCGCACCCCTTCGTGCGGAAGCTGCGGGGCGACTCCCTCCTCCTGAACTTGCGCCCCACGGCTGGTCAGGCTCCCCAGGAGTGGTGGCACCCGTTTCGGGGGTACCTGGGCCGGGCCGCCCGCTCGTGCCGCAGCTCTGGGAGGTCACATCGGGGATCAGCACGACCCTGGTGGGCGCCCCGCCGGGAACCCAGGAGGGCGCGGGGCGGACACTCACCATGTAATAGGCCATGAAGGGCAGCAAGACCTTGAGCTTGTCGGGGTGGACGCTGACTTTGGCCCTGACGGCGTTGCGGGACCAGACGGGACGGACGGCGAACAGCTGGGGGGGGGGGCGTCAGACAGAGGCTGAGGGGAGCACAGGCAGCACCCCAGCCCCGGGGCCCCGGGGCCCAGCGCGGCCCGGCCCCCAGAGGGCCCTCCCGGAAAGGGGCCGGAGGAGTGTGGCGGCCGCACCGGAAGAGCCAGCCCAGGAGCAGCGCACGGCACCAGGCCCACACTCGGCAGAGGGGCTGCGCGCCCGGCCCGCATCCAGTGTGGCTGCAGGCCCAGGAGTCCTGGCTGACCATGAGGGACAGAGTCACCGCCCCGCGCAGCTCATAGGCCGGCAGGGGAGGCAAGTGACTGAAAGGGTCAGAGCAGGGCCAGGAGGGGGACGAGCCAGAGCTCCGGCTAGCCCCAAGCTGGAGGGCAGCCCCTGACAGGGGACACCAGGAAGGCTGAAGGGACGGATGGCCTGGCCCAGGGAGGATGGCGGAAGGCCAGTGTGGTGCAGCGTGGAGGGCCGGGACAGGAAGGGCCCCGAGCCAGGTCAGCCGTGGGCCGTGTCCAGAGGACGAGAAGCCTCGGACGGCTGGCCCCCACGTCCCTGCCCAGTGACTGCTGCAAGCACAAGGTGTCCACACAGTCCCTTTAAGAGTACCCCCCACAAGGGACAGTCACTTGGACAAGAGGTGCACCTGAGGGAGCAGAGATGTGGCCCCGGCCTGCGCCTGCCCGGGGCCCACCGGCCGGAGGGCCAGGCGGAAGGCCACTCCCGCCCCAGGGCAGGCCGGTGCTCGGACGCCAGCAGGGCGCTGCACGCGCAGGCGGGGCAGCGGGCACGGAGCGAGGCACTGAGGGAGAAAGGCCAGCCCGCGGGGCCCCGGGGCCCCACTCCGACAGCGCCCGCCTCCCAAAGGGCCCCAGGGAGTCCGAGCCGTGTCTGCTCTGCGGACTCGGGCCTGCGCCGGCACCGGCACACTTACAGACACGACGTCGGGGACGAGAGAGAACTCCCCGTGGGCTGAGCGCCAGGTTAAGACGAGCCAGCACAGCCCACCGCACGGACCAAGAGGAGGACGAGCCCCGCTGGGTCTCCGGGAGGTGGGCGGGGCAGGTGGGCCGTGCAGGGGGTGTGGGGGGGGCGGCGCTCACCTCCCTCAGCTCCTCCTCCACCTTCTGGTCCACGGGGTTGGTGCAGAGCCGCCGCCACGTCTGCACGGCGGGCTCCAGCGGCTGCACGGGCACCTCGTCGTCCTCGAAGTTGACGAAGACGGCGTTGTGCAGGCGCCGGGCCCTGCTCAGGCCGATGAGGTTCTCGCCTGTGACCGGGGGGTTGTTGTAGCCTTCCCTGGGGACAGAGAGGGCCGGTGAGGGCCGCAGCACTGAGGAGGACCCCTGGCCCAGGCGCCCGGCCAGTGGCTCCGGCAGCCCGTGGTTTTGTGCTTTTCCCTGGAGCCTGGGTGAGGAAGGAGGTCTTAGAGCCGGCTGCTGGAGAGGGGGTCTGTTCTCAGGCTGACCGCCAGGGGGACCGGGCTCCGGCCTGCAGCTCTGCAGCCTGGCAAGGCCCAGAGGTCCCGGAGGCCGAGGTGTTGGGGAGGGCTCCTGTCACGGGGCTGGTGGCCTCCTGACTGCACTGACTCACGCACGTGCCCACCGGCCAGAGGAAGACTGGGGACCACCTACACGCCCGCGGGCGGGACCTGTGAGACCATCAGCACCCGCCACACGGGGCGTGTGGACCTGCTGGCAGACAGCGGCTCTACCCACCGAACCCCCCGCCCAGCTCATCATTCACCCCGAAACCACCGACGAGGAGGGAACCGCTTTCCTGCGAGGTGACCGAGGCCGAGGCTCGGGGCTGGGACGCCCACCGGGGAGCCTGGCCACCTTGTCACAGCGCAGTCTGGCCTGGAAACACCCGGACGACACCCAGGAGCAGGAACGCTGGCGACGACCGAGTGGCCTCGTCCCGGAGCAGAGGTGAAAGGCCAGGTCCCTGCACCGGGTACACGGGTCTCTGTGTGTCGGACAGAGCGCGCCCAGGCAGGCGCGTCCCAAGGTGCCCAGGTGTCACCTCTTTAAGGCCGGGTGTCAGGAGCGTCCACTCCACGTGAAGGCAGGGAGGACGGCATGCAGGACCCCCGAGCAAGCCCATCATCAGCGTCACCGACTGCAGTCACGGCTAACGAACGCCACCTCGCCCGCCCCGCGCCCCGGACTCACTGAAGCATTTCCAAAGTGCGTTCTAAAACAGTGCGTCCTGGACGTCACAACTGCACTGAGGTGACTGCTACTTTCTAAATGTTTCCGTTTTACCTCAATTTTTCTGCATGAGTGCCTGCCACCTGCACGTTCATGCAGAACAACGGAGTGATCCTGACGCTGGGAACAGAACTACGGACACAGGAACAAGTCCGGGCCCTTTTTTAAAAACCGTGATCCCGGCACAAGCCCCCCGGAGCAGCCGAGCCAGTGTCCTGGCTCCAAGGCCACCTCCCGAAACCCCGGGCGATACCCCCGTGACAGAACGCAGCTCTCGGCAGGGCCAGAGCCGCTCCCCGCACTCCGGCTTCCTCGAGGGGAGGGCCCCGTCTGGCCACCGGCCTCCCCGTCCCGTAATCCCGGGAAGGCCGGCCGAGCCGATAAGCGGCAGCGGCCTGGGAGAAAAGGCAGGTTCTTTCCGTCGCTGGAAAGTCCGGGCAGCACATGGCTCCGAGGGCAGCTGCCCCCTCCCTCGCCCCCTCCGAGGGGCTTGGGAACCGCCGCCCGCTGGCCCCAAAGGGCAGACAAGTGACAAGTCACCAGAGCCTGGGCCAGTGTTGCCCTGGGGTCCCATTCTCTTCCCCTGTACATTTTGGTCTCTGACTGCAAGAGTAAAACGCATGTGAGGCAAAAATAACCAGGAGATCTCAGACACACGTAAGTTTTAAAATGGACCCTGACACCCTCTGCTCCACACCCAGCTGCACTAACCCTGACACCCACACAGGAACAGCCCCCCACGTGCGAGGGTTTCAGCGGGAGCGGCCGGGGCCTGATTCTGGTCACACGTCCCCGTGACATCCTGTTCTCTGAACCCGCAGGACGCCCTCCTGCAGCCAGAGGGGGCTGGGGTGGCACCGTGCGATCGGCAGCCTGAGACGTCCGTCACAGCCACGCCGCGGGGCCCGTCGGGCTCTCGAGTCACCGCTGGGACAACTGGGGAACCGGAACAAGACCGGGTAAGGGAGGGCGTCAGGTTTGCCTGCTAGGACGACGGGATTGCAGTCGCGTTTTTAAAGACGAGTCCTTCCTCGTCAGAGACAGGCCCCGACACACTCCGTGCCCTGGGGTGGGGGGTGGGGGGGAGCTAGAGCGAGCCTCGGAGGGCGGCCAGCGGCCGGAGCTGCTGCTGCTGCTGCAGGGTGCAGGGGCTCAGGCCGACGCTGCTCCCCAGTTCGGGTACGCCTGGGCTCCCCACTACTCACCTTCTTCGAGATGGAGAACAAGGCACCTTCCCCTCGGGACAAACCCAGGCCCCTCCCCCCCGACCGGTGAGGCCCCCGCCCCTCCCTCCCTCTGCCCTGCTCTGGGGTTGCCGGCTGCCACCCTCCATTCTCTGCCAAGTCAGTCCCCTGGTCCGGCACATTCTCCTGGGTCCCCGCCTGCCCGCGCTCCAGTCTGTTTCAAACGCCAGCCCCTCCCAGAGCCCCCCCACCCCCCACCCCCCACCCCCGCCCATCTAGACCCATCCCCTTTCCTCTCCTGTCTCGCCTGCATCTGGACACTCAGCAGTCACCCGCGTCCCCAGCCCCCTGGCCCAGCCCGGAGGCTCCCCAGTCCTGATCTCCCCGCCGCCAGGCTCCGGGCCGTGCGGGGCCGCACCGGGTGGTCCCCGCTTGTGCGAGGCCGTGTTTAGTGAGGCGAGAGGAAGTTCCCACCCAGAGATCACTGTCGGAGGCCCGACCTTCCAGGTTTCTCCAGGCTCCTGGTGTCACCCCCGTTGATTCTGTACCACAGAATCCGCTCTGCACCCCGCCTTCCTCACAGAGCCAGGTGCCCTGGACGGGCCCCACGTCGGTCCGCCAGCCCGCTCCCTTAGAGGCTGCACGGCGTCCCCCGGCATCGGCAGGCTGTAATCTCACTGCCCACGCCCCTCCTGAGCGGCCGATGGCCGACTCGTTCGTTTGAGCAAACTCTGCCAGGCACGGGCTGCTGTGGTGAGTGCTCCGACGATCCACAGTCACCGATCCCCCAGGACGCAGGGTGGCACCTACTGTCGCCCTTGCAGACGGAGCTGCTGGGAGACCCCTCGGGCCCCCCACACCCGCCCCATGGGCTGCCCGATCTTGCTGCGCTGACAGTCAGCCAGCAAACACCCTGGGGGCTGCACCCCCCAGCTCTCGGGTGAGAGTCACTGGGGGGCCCGCTGCTGCAGGTGGGGCTGCTCGGTGAGCAGGAAGAGGACATCTGGAATCGTCGTAGATTCTGCCACACTGCTCACCACAGAAGTCGGCCTCATGCTTGGTGGCCCTTCAGTGTGTGTGTGTGTGGGGGGGGGGTCTGTTTCTCTGCGTCTCGAGGGGCACACTTTTGGGGACGGGTCTTCAAGTCCAAAGGCGGCAGCCTGATTCGCCCTCGGCAGTACAGGGCCAGCAAGGCCTCCAGGGGCTGTGGGGACTGGGGCTGGGTCCGCAGGGCCCCGTATCACCAGTGCAGCTGCCTCTGGAGGCGCGGGGGCTGTGGCCTTGGGCACAGCTGGCAGTCCCCAGCCGGCCAGAGGGGCGGTGACCTTCAGCTACCAAGTCAGCAGGTGCTGAAACCCTCCATGTTTTTGGAGGCTTAAAACATGCTACGAATGATCCTTTAACCAACACCACCCCCTATGGGCCGCCTCGCAAACTGCCTGTTCCCTCCTGCACACCTGTCTTCCCTGATCTGGCTGCCGCACAGCTTCCTTCACAGGCTCACACACATCTGCAGAGGGCTCTCCCGCGCCTGGCCGCGCTAGACACCAGGGTTACGAACGACAGAGGACACAAACCAAATCGCTCCCTTCAGGGAGCTTATACTAAAATTGAGACATTTAAAAAATTCTGCCCTGGCTGGTGTGTTTCAATGGATTGAGTGTCAGCCTGAGAACCAAAGAGTCACTGGTTCGATTCCCAGCCAGGGCACGTGCCTGGGCTGTGGGCCAGGTTCCCCAGTAGGGGGCGCATGAGAGGCAACCACACATGGATGTTTCTCTCCCTCTCTCCCTTCCCCTCTGTCTAAAAATAAATAAATAAGACCTTTAAAAAATAAAAAATATTAAAAGCTGAAGCATGCAAAAATACGGACACCAAGGCCCAGGGGTCAGAATGTCGGGGGTCCCGGGCCGGCTGTGTGCCCCAGGCCAGCCCCAGGCCCTGCATCCCCGCATCCCCGCAGGCCAACACGTACAGGGCCTCTCGCAGAGACGCCGAGGCGCTGCCCGAGCAGCGGTCGTGTTGTTGCTCCGGAACCGGCATTTTTGGACCCGGGTTGTCCTGTTTTCTACACTATGCCCCCGTGGCTTTTATGCAAAGGAAACCCCCTCCTTCCTGTCATGGGGCGGGGTGGGGGGGGTGGTTAGAATGCACCTCAAAGCCACCTCTGACTGGCCCAGGCCTGCGGCGCCCGTGACCCCGGGGCTCCCCTCACCGACGGTCAGGACGGCCCCCAACGGAAGGACTCGTCCGACGGACGCACACCCAGCACCCGCACACGGTCTTGCCGGGCGCGTGTGGGGGCGGGGCTGGGGGACAGGCTGCGACCCGGACTGCGACACGCGTCTGTCTGGTTCCTCCGCCTCTCGGCTCAGGGCCTCCCCGAGTGAAGACACACGCAGCCCTGTGCTCGGGGGCCTGTCCTCGCGAGCAGACGGACCAGACCGAGGGCACGGCAAGCAAGGTCATGGCCACGACCGGGGTGACGGCACACAGCTGGGCGAGCGGCGGGGAGTGTGGCAGAGGGAGACGGGCCGGGAAGTCACCCGCAGGGGTGGGCACAGGGAGGCCTGGAGGGGCGGCAGTGGCGGACAAGGGCTGGGCTCACGGGTGGGATTTCTCAGGGGGCCTCAGGAGCACACAGGCCTCCGCTCGCCAAGGGCTTTCTCCGCACTCGGCCGTGAGCGGAGACTCCCCGAGCTTTTGTCCTTTCCCTGACCCTCGCCCGAGGACGTGCTCGTCGATTTCAGAGAGAGGGGAAGGGAGGGAGGGAGAGGAACAGACTCACGGATGTGGGAGAGAAACATTTTCGCACACACCAGGGCCGGGACCGAACCCACGCCAGGAAAGCACCGGCAACCGCCCGGCAACCTTTGGGTTCTGCGCAGACGCCGAGCCGCACCGGCCAGGGCTTCCCCAGCACTGGAAGTGCAACCCTCACGCCCCTGATGGACGGGCACTCACTTCCCCGCCTGGAGGTGAGCGGCTGAGGTCCCACAGGCCAAAGGCCAGCCTCGGACCACAGGGCCCCCGCGGCGCCCGTGCCGCGGCGGGGGCGGGGCTCACCGGTGGTGCGTCTCGGGCCGGTAGAAGTAGTCCGCCGGGGTGTCCAGCCGCGAGAAGATGGGCGGGGGGATGTAGAGCGGTAGCTCCTGATGGAAGAAGGCCTCCTTCTCCGGCCGGAGCATGAGCACCCGGTCGTACATCGACATGTGCCTGCCGCCCTCCTCCGTGTGCACAGCCAGATACTGGAAGTCCGACATTCCTGCGGAGAGGCAAACAGATGGCCGCCGCCGCCGCCAGGGACGGCTCCCCGCACTACCCCTGTGGAGGACGGGGCCGCTGCCACGCCGCCATGCCCCCATGCCCCCACGCCCGTGTCTTCTTGGGAAGGTGCTGCAGCAGCCTGGGGGGGCGGCTGTCGGGCCCTGGTGGCCGGAGCAGAAACTGCACCCTTTGAAATGCTTCCGAGAGGTCGGCTCCACACCCTGCAGGTCACTTGGATAAGGAGTATTTGGGGCTCAGGGAGGGTCACGTCACACGTGACAGTCGAGTCTGCGTCAGCGCTCCAGAAAAGGTAAGGTGCGCGCGACTCGCCCAGGGTCTTGTCAGAGGCAGACTCTGAGAGGCTGTGCTTCCGACTGCCCCCAGGCGAGGCAGGGGCCCCCGGCCTGGGACGCACGCTGACAGCGACGAGCTGGCTCCGAGAGAGACGGGGATGAACCCCCGGAAGCCAGGCCTGGCAAGGGCAGAGTGCTCGGTGAATGCCACACCCACCAGGATGACTGACAGTTCAATGCCCAACCCTGGGCCCGGGTCCTGTTTCGTCTCTTTTCTCTTTCCATCCCCTCCGACTTCCTCACTCTCAGTCTGTTCGGATTCTGAGAACCGCAGCTGCAACAGGCGTTTCTGAGCGCCCCCCACGTGGTGGGCCGCCCCACAGCGGGCATCATCTCCCCGGATCTTCACCAGTGCCTAAGACCTCAGGGCCCCGCCGACCGGACTCGGAGACGGAGGTGGGGGAGGCCCAGCGACCTGCCCGGAGAAACTCAGGGAGGCCGTGTCCTTTCTCGCTGTCCCCTGACCCCACTCTGCCGCAACCCACCTCACAGCCTGCTCGCAGGGCTCCCTGTGAGAAGCGAACTTGACTGAGGACCCCCCCCAGAGACATCCAGTTGGCTAAGAACTCAAGAAACAGAAGGTCCCAGGGGAAGAGGTGATCTGGGAAGGCAACACTAGCAGCAGTGAAGACGGAGAAGAGGCTCCCCAGCGCCGGGGGCTGAGAACCAGGGGCTGCTGCCCGGTTCTTCTTGGCCCCACGAAAGAACTTTAAACGTGAGGACACCTCTCACGGAACCCTAGCTTCTGTGAAGGGTGCAAAACTGTGGGTGGTCTGCAGGGAGCTGTCGGCTGGAGAAAGTGGCTCCCTCACCTCCAGCCCCCCACGCCTGTGCCCCCCTGGCGCACTTCACCGTGTGGCTGGCCCACAGGGTCCTGGAGGACGTGGGGACACAGGCCCCAAAGAACCTGGCGGGGGGGGGAAGAACGCATTTTGTGGTTACCTTGGAATTTGTAAACGGTGGAGACGATGCCAACAGTCTCCACGTCGAACGTGACCGCGGGGTGGGCCTCAGGCCCCGGCACCCCCTCCTGCCGCCTGGCCTTCCTCCTGACCCGGAGCAGCAGGCTGCTGGTACCGAAGCGGTTGGCACACACGGGGTGGCAGTAGGGGTCCTTGGGCCGGAAGTACAGCTCCAGCCGCTTGGTGGGGTCTGCGTAGATCTGTGGCGAGGCCAAGGGGACCAAGAGCGGCCAGCTCAGCAGCCGCAGGGACGGCGCCGCCCTCGACAGAAGCCTGCTGCTGACCCCGGAAGCCCGTCTCCTGCTGAGCTCTCAGCCCCCTGAAGACTCACTGCTCCTACCCCGGCGTGTCAGGTTTTATCTGGCAGAGAAAACGGGGATCGTCCCCTCCTTCTCAGGGCTGTGGGGCTGGAGGCAGAAACTACCCATTAAGCAAAGCCGGCATCAGCAAGGGCCCTGGTCAGTGCCGGGAATCACGAGGCTCTTCTGGCGGCCCTTCGAGGAGGAATTGTCGCCGGAGTCTACGGGGGACGTGACTGAGGCGACTTGCCCCACTCGGGGAACTGACTGCCCACGCCAGGGTCTCGGGATCACGTGCAAATGTTCTGGGTCCAAAAGGGACTAAGCCCATCGCTGGACTAAGCATGCTGGCTCTGCCTGGCTGCTGCCTGTCCCGTGCAAGCCTGGGTTCCCTCTCCTTAAAACGAGCACCGTAAGGGCACCTACTGACAGGAGCGTTACGAGGATTAAATGAACATACATGTGCTGCGCTTAGCCCGGTACCTGGCTCACGGCAGACACTCAGCACGTGCCACCTGCACTCGAGTGCTCGCCCAAGGGGGTGTCAGCCGTGTGCACACGGAAGCACCAGCAACACTCAGTGGGCCCAGACCGTCTCCCTCCCAGAGTGCTGGCTCCCGGGGGCAGGGTGTGGCCCTTAGGAGGTGCCCAGGAAACACCCAGGGAAAGAAGAAAGGTAAAAGGAACCCTGCCCCTCCGGAATCTCTTCTCCAAGATGCAGGGGTCTGAGGCTGCTGGGCTGGGACCGGCCTGGCCCCAGTCAGGGGCCTGGCACAGGGCAGGTCCTCAAGAAACACAAAAGAATGAACGAATAAGCAGCCTCTTCCCCAAAGGCTCCCACTGGCTGACAGTCTGGTACAGAAAGTTGGGGTCGGTGGGAGTAGCGGCCCTGTCAGTGCCGGCGTATGGCAGGTGAGTCAGGATAGAAGCACAAAAAGGCGACCGGCGGGCCTCCGCTAGCGTCCTGTGCTCAGGGACAGGCTGGAGGTTTCTCAGTATTCACACAGGACGAGGAAGCAGCCGTTAAGAGGTCAGACTTCAGAGAGGAGGCATGCGTGAGTTCAAATCCCCACTGCACCATGCAGGAGCTTGCTTGACCCAACCTTTACCCGAGGAGTGGGGGTGATAGCTGTACCTAGCTCCCGGGCTCGTTGTGAAGCCTCAGTCACGCATCTGACAAGTATTTTGGGAGCAGGCACCCTTACGGACGTTAGGGCTACAGCGGTGAGCCAGCGAGACAAGGGGCCAAGAGAGACCATAAGCCCCCTAAAATATAAGTTCTTATGGGAATCAAGAGTTTGCCGAGGCAGAGATTCACTGCTTAGAGGCCAGCGTTGGGGCTGTCGGTGAAGGCCTCTCTACAGAAGAGACATTTCAAGCTCTGGAGCGCGGGAAGCACGTATGCAGAGCCTGGCACAAGGAAAGAATTCATCCCAGCTGCCCTATTTCTGGGGTGACCTGGAACAAGTTGCCTCAGTTGCCTTGTAAAATGTGGACAGCCCCGGCTGGTGTGTCTCAGTGGAATGAGCATCAGTCTAGGAGCTGCAAGGTCGCGGGTTAGATTCCTGGCCAGGGCACGTGTGTGGGTTGCAGGGCAGGTCCTCAGTTGGGAGTGTGCGAGGGGCAACCAGTGCAGAGGGATGTTTCTCTCCCTCTCTTCCTCTCTTGCTCCCTCCCCTCTCTCTAAAAATAAATAAAACCTTTTAAAAAGAGTTAACAAAAATGAGGACAATGACAGTCCCCGCCTGGCAGGGTTCTAATGAGGACCCTAATGCCTGCTACAGAAAAGTCGTTAACTGTTACTTCCTTTAACCCTAACAACAAAGCACTCCGTCCCCTCTCACGTCGGTCAATGGTTCTTAATCTCGGCCTGCCTCTGCTTCCTACTGTGGAAAGAGGACGTGGCAGCCTAGCACACCCTGCAGGAGTGCAGGTGAGCTGCGCTCACGCGTCCGCCCGAGGACGGGATGGAAAGGTCACCCCCTTCCCTCTCTCCTTCTAGCGGAAAAAGGGCCCATTCCCCTCGCTCTCCCAAGAAAAGCCCCGCCCACTAACCGCACCAGAGCCCGCCTAAAGCTTCGTCGTCAAGGAAACCACACTTGCCCCGCCCCCCTCCGGCCTGGGTACCACAGTTCCGTCGCTCCCCGATGGTTCCAGAGACTTACCCGAGAGACGCCTTCCTCGCCGCCCAGGGTCTGCAGCATCTTGGACACGTCGCGCACCAGGCCCGGGTACTCCACACACACCATGCGCCGCTCGCGCTGCAGATCCACGGGGATGGCCACCCCCGGCCCCGCGTTGGCCGCCCCCGCCGCCATTCCCGAGAGTCTGGCCCGACCCGCCGCGGTCCGTTCCTCCACGTGCTCCCAGAGGCCTCGCTTCGGTGGTTCCGCGGAGGATTCGTTCCAGCCTCCCTCACCGCTCTAGTCTCTCTCTCTATTCCTGTGCTCAGCGAGTCGCCGAGGACTCAAGGAGCAAATGCCCAAGCGAAGGCCCTCCCCCCCGCTTCGGGGTAAACTACCACTCTGTTCTCAACACTGTGTTTTTAAAATGGAGGGGCTTGCCGGAGGGGCGGGGCAAGGGCCTGTCTCTTCCACTTACCAGCGGGGGACCCGTGAGATAGTAGGACACCGCCCAGCTCTCGGCTTAGGCCAATGAGGACCCGAAGGCCGAGCCGAGATTTTAGCCAATGAGCAGTCAGGTGGGAGCCAGGTTCCACCCCTCCTCCCAGCTCATAGTTTTAGCCAATAAAAAAGCAGAACTAGGCCGAGTCTCCGCCCCTCCCTTGGTTCCACCCAATGACGACTCGGGACGAGTAGAAACAGACTTCCGGCTCACGTTCTTAGGGAAGGTCGCTGCAACCATTTGATTTCCGGGACGCGGAGTCTGTTGAGAGGTGTCCTGGAGGCTGGGGCCACCACGACCCCTTGCAGCCTGCGCTGCCCCAGGGCGGGTTTCTAGCAGCGCCTGGAGCCACGTGGGGAGGTCTATCTGAAAATAGCGAGCTCGAGGGAATTGCACTTTGAATGCTCGCCGGTGCCCGCGTCAGTCCTTCATCCCTTAGGCAGTTTTTAAGCGCCGATAGTGCGCTCCGTATACTCAGAATCCATCCTCCGAGAGAAGCGTTACATAAGCAGCTGTGTGGGGAACCGTAAAGCTGGGACAGGGGCCATTCAGGAAGTCGTGGGTGAGAAAGGGGTTCTAGGGAAAGTAACCGCGTGGGGTGATCTGGTCATAAATTCCTAAATGGGCAGGTCCTGGTGGAAATAACGCCCCAAGCGCATAAATTTAGTAAAAGGTTTATCTTTGCCTCGAGCAAGTCCTTTGCGTTGTTTTTGCCCATCTAGTTAACAAACCTTTGAAAAATAAGCGTAACCACCCTGAAGGGAACACATCATCTTGTTAATTATCCTGTACCAGTCCCCACCTTGCTTTCGCACACCCTCATGTAATTTTCCTTAAATTTCCTCCTTAATTCCAAATGCATAAAAGAAATGGCGTGTCTGTCACTCTCTGGAACATTTGAGATCTTGCTCCCTGCTAATGGTCAGTTTGGCTCAAATTTTATAAGAATTCTCTACAGGCTCGGACGTTTCCTCCTTGAAAAGTTGTAGAAGACGAAACTGGAGGGAACGAAGCCCTGACTGGTGTGGCCCAGTGGGTTGGGCATCATCCCACACAGGGAAAGGTCACTGGTTCACTTCCTCCTGGTCAGGGCACGTGCCTGGGTTGTGGGTTCGGTCCCCCGGCGGGCTGTGTGCTCGAGGCAATCAAGGTATTTTCTCTCTTACATCCGTGTTTCTTTCTTCCTGTTTCTCCCTTCCCCTCTTTAAAAAACAAAAACAAAACATAGGGAGTGAAGCCGGGGTAAATGAAGGGGATCAGAAGTCAGCAAAGGCCAGACAGACCCTAAAAAGATGGCTTTTTCTGAGTGCAATGGAGAGCCCTTGTAGGGAGTGCTACTGTCTAAACTATGCGTTTAAAAGACTCTGGCTGGGCCCTGGCTGGTGTGGCTCAGTGGACTGAGCACCGACCTGTGAACCAAAAGGTTGCTGGTTCGATTCCAGTTGGGGCACATGCCGGGGTTGCCGTCCAGATCCCCTGTTGGTTGCGTGAAAGAGGCAACCAAATGATGTTCCTCTCCCACACTGATGTTTCTCTCCCTCCCTTTCTCCCTTCCTCCCTCTCCCCGGTGGGGTTTGGGGGCGGGGAGCAGGGGAAAGATGGGCATGTAGAGAATGGACCTCAGAGAGTGCAAGAGGGCAAAAGTAGGTTCTGATAAACCAGCTGAGAGGAAAGAGTTGCTTCCTGGGGCCAGGGAAGTGCCAATTAGAATGGGAAGAAGGGACTAGCTGTGCGGCTAGAAAGAGATTAAAGTCAGTACGAGCCAGAGACTTCTGGGTATAATGACTTCTGAATCAAAAGATTACTTTGTTGTTCTAGATGGGTTGAAGGAAAGCGTGTGACCTGAGTGTGAAGTGTGTCATGCTGTCACGGGAAGACTCTGCTGGGCACCCAGTACTGGGTGCTGTGAGAGAGAGGCCCCTCTGAGCACAGCTCGGACTCAGCCAGCAGACCTGCCTTCCCCGGCGGGAGCTGGCGTGCGTGTTCTGTGCAGCGTGGCCAGGATAAGTCTCCACAAGCTCCATGCCTGGACATGAAATTTCCTTTTAAACTTCTGGCCCTGGCTGGCATAGCTCAGTGGATTGAGCGCGGGCTGCGAACCAAAGTGTCGCAGGTTCGATTCCCAGTCAGGGTACATGCCTGGGTTGCAGGTCATGACCCCCAGGAACCGCACATTGATGTTTCTCTCTCTTTTCTCCCTCCCTTCCCTGTAAAAATAAATAAATATAATCTTAAAAAACAAAACAAAACTTCTCACTTGCCCTCATTCTGTGCTCGCCAAACAATCTTTTGTTGGTTGGTTTAGTGTTCCTAAAGGAAAGTCTGAGTAACAGACGTATATTAGTAAATATACTGATGGTAAATTAGTATGTAATCGTAAATTATACCCTGCCTGTAACAGTAAATTAATGAATCGGTGTGTTTTCATCAGACCCCCGTGAGTCTGGCACACAGGAATCAGTCCTGAAGATTCTGACTGATGAGAGATTCGATGCAAGGTTACATTTGGATTTTATGTAACAGGGAGTCGCACTGACACCAAACATCTATTCATTATTTATCTGGAATTGAGGCTTAGCTAGTGTATTTCTGTTTGCTAAATAGGGCACCGCTCCCTTTAGGTGCTGAAGAAGTCGAGTTTCTGGTCCCGCAAAGCTGGTTCCAGACCACCTAGAACTTTAGCGAGCCCACTGGGGTCCTGAGCCCCACCCCCCCGCCCCCCAATCCGATGACTTTGGTTTCGTCGGCTCTCATCTGCTCTCCCTACGGAGCAGGAGTGATCGCTCTAGAACGAGATCTCACTCTGGCCCCGCCCCCGCTCCGCACCCCACCACCTGGCCCACCGCCCTCCGTCCTGCTGCGTGTTCACGTTGCCCCAACCACAGCCCCCTGCTGGAGAAGGAAGACAGGATGGGTAGGTGCCAAACCCTCGCGCCCCGCGTGCTGTGGGTTAGAGACGCGTCTGCGTCCCAACCCCGGCGGCCTGTGCGCGCGGCCTCGCCTGGGGAGAGGGTCTCTGCGGACGAGATTCAGCGAAGGCAGTGGAGAGGGGGGATCTTCCTGGATTGCCCAGCCGGGCCCTAGATCCCACGACAGAGGCGGAGGGGCCTGGACACGGTGAAGAGGAGGCCTGTGACCGCAGAGGTGGCGTTGGGAGTGACCGGGGGACTGAAGTAGGGGGGTGACTGATCCTTCACTGCGGGCAAGAACGGCTCTGGAAAATGCTTCCTTTGGGCCCCGGAATCTGAATATTCCTTCCCGGGCCGCTGGTCAGGCTGGGAAGCACGCAGTCGGGGTTCAACATTCCCTAGTCAGGACTGGATTCTCGCTGCACCCTAAGGACGGGAGAGAAGGCGTAGTGTTCAATTTTGGCCACCAGGTGGCGACGGAGCGTCCTCGCGGGCAACACCGCCACCTGGCGCTCACCCGTGCCCATGACACCTGCGGGAAAACGCGAAGGAGAGACACGGGCTGGAGCGCGGGGAGCGGAGCCTCCCAAGAGGCCTGTGCTGGGGTGGGGCGGGGTCAGCAGCCTGCTCCCTCTCAGGTCCGCCCGTAGGGAGGCTGGATAAACAAAAAGTGATCTACCCACACCGTGGAATATTATTCAGCCTTAAAAAGAAGGAAAGTCTGACACATGCTACAACATGGATGGACACGGGGGGCCTTCTGCTAAGGAGCTAAGCCAGCCACGGAGGGACACAGTATGGCTGCCTTTATGGGGCATCCCTTAGGGACAGGAAGTAGGACTGTGGTTGCCGGGGCCTGGGGTGAGAGGGCAACAATGTTTTGGGGACAGAGTTTCAGTTTGCACCCATCCCCAGCACCTCCTCCCAGCTTCCTGCGGGGGAGGGGGTGGGGGCAGCCTCTCTCTGACTCTTCTGCCCCAGGTCGCTCTGGCTCCCCCCCGCCCCCCGTGGCTGCTGGGGACACCGCTCTCTTTGATGAAAACAAGCTCTTTAGTGGAAGGATAACATCCAGATCGGAAAGCACACGAGCGTGTGCATCTGGGTGAATCGTGCCCAGGTGAACCCCCAACTCCCCCCCTCACCTCTGCGCAGATCGAGCAGCAGAACACCCCATTGCCTGCACCTCGGAAGCCCCCGTTCCCTTTATGATTATGGCTCCTTGTGCAGCGCCCTGAGACACCCTTTCGTATCTCAAGTTCATGAAAGTATGTTCTCCTAGAAGCTTCGCAGTTTTTGAGTTCATCCCTGTGTCTTCATTGTTGTGGAGAGATCAGTGGCTTCACGACTTCCTACTGAAAGTGAACCTTCTCCCAGGGTCTCTGCACTCTGTGCGGGCGGAGATGGTGCTCCTCCCCCCACCCACCCCTGCTCCCTCCGTCTCCCCTCAGGTGAGATGCTGCCGGCAGCCACGGCCGTTCTTTGGGGGTGTTTTGGCATGTGGGTTATTTCACGGTCTAGCGGCTAATACCCAGGCACCGGGGAACTGTGAAACGGTTTCTCCGTTGTTGACGGCTGGCTTGATTCCGCCGCAGTCGGGTGTCAGGGTCCGTATGGTTTCCACCTCCCTTTAACACGCGCGAGGACCTGCTCTGGGGCCCGACACGCCGTCGGTCCTGTCACGCGTGGTAGGCACATCAGAAAACGTTCCGGGCACCGGGGTTCTGCGGGCGTCGGGTGCAGAGTTCTAGATCCTTCCGGATGCGCGTGCACGTGTGTGTGGGTCTGCTCGTCCCACGAGAAATGGGCCGAGATTTCCCCTCGGCCCATTTCTCCTCTCACTTTTGTCCACGTTGCCGCGTTTGCAGTTGGGGCCCCTGGTACGCCCCCACGAACTCAGAGAGGCCGTGTGTCCCTGGCCGGTGGCCCTTTAACATCGCGAAGGGCCCCTTTTTACACGCGGAGAAGGCTGCACGGTGTGACCTCAGCATCGCTGCAGGAGATTTGCTCTGGTTAATGTTTGCACGATGTGAATCTTTCCGTCTCTCACTTGGGTCTTTCCGTCTCCTCGCACGTCGCGTCT